AACAGCAGGTGAACGTTTGCCGCAAATGTGTTTGTTCGCTTGTGTGTTTTATTGATGTATGTATGTATGTATGTATGCATGTATCGTAAGTGCTTGAAAGCAAAATATTTACTCTATTTTCACCGATGGTAAACATTTGCAAATACGTATGCACCATTATCGTCCACAGCACGGAGAAGACGCGCAAGCCATGCACACAGGAGGTTTGTTGCTGGAGAAGGAGAAATGCAAAGAAAAAACGAAATAAAAATAATAAAAACATTAAATATAAAGCAGCAAAAAGATTTTTTTCGGAAGTACATAATGTAGCTACTGCTAATGCTTATAGGCTGCATTTCTTTATTCATTCTGAATGTTTGGAATAAACTTTTTTGTTTACTTATTCTTTAGAACGTTCCTGATGATATGTTAACGTATATTTCAAACGCATTCTGTTTATTCCGGCTGTGAAATGGGATTATCCGGAATGTATAAAGAAACGCAGCCATAATGTTTCCTAAGAAATACAAGCAGCGTAAAAGGAAAAAGGAAATTATTCGCCATGCTTATGATGCTGTTCATATTTTTTTACGTATTAATTTTAATTACCGACTTGAAAGTAATTATTTTGCTTATCTTCAAATGTTTGTTTGCTTTGCAATAGTATTATTTTTGAACCTTAATTTTGCGATTGGCCCTTGACTGCGATTTGAAATGAATGTAAAATTCAGGATCTGCAAAGTGACGCTAACAAAATAAAATTGTATCTAAAACATACACAAGAGCGTTAAAAACCAATTTAAAAAATTTCCCACACGGGAAAAATAATTTCCCAAAAGGGAAATTTCATAAAATATTCTTAAATGTGATAGTCAGCTCAAATAACTATGTGAAAAGTTATTTCGGAAAAATATTCCTTATCTTTAAACAATTTCCCAACATAATTTCGCCAAAAAATATCTAGCGATGCATGTACTATATTTTTAGATATAACCTCTAAGGCTTGTTTTAAAACACTTTATTTTTTAGAAGGCATATTTTGACATACAACTCATATCTAAAAGGAAACATTCTTATATTTATGTTCACATGAATGTACATACATATCGTCGCTTGACGCGCAATACCACGTATAAGATAGTCAAAAAAATTTCTCAAAATAGCAAAAAAAGTATTTTCTTCAAAACTTTTGAATGGATTTCTAACTGAGCTTGCAAAATATGAGCCTCTAATATAATTATTCACCATGAAATTTATAGTTTAGGTTAAAAATTGAGACGGGGTAACCAAAATTAAGTTTTTTCAGTGACACCTCATACGTGGTATTGCATTTGACATATACGAGGAATTGCGCGCCAAGCGACGATATGTATGTGTGTGTCAAATAGTTAAAAAAAATTTCAAGGAAATTAGGTTTTTTGTTTTTCGAAAAATTTCTTAAAATGTAAAAATAATATCTCTTCAGAAAAAATCCCCCTCTTTTCAGAGACTCAAAATCAAGTGTTTACAAAATTACACATTTTCTCTAAATGTGTAGCACTTCATCGATCCCATTTCATTAAATTCTTAAATTTCTTAAATATGGAAAAAAAAATTAAATTGCTTTTCTAAGAAAAATAGTGCTCTCACATTTTAGAAAAATATGAAAGATTACTTCTAATGTATGAATTTGCAATAACATAATATGTAGAATTTTCATGGTTTTATTTATATGTTTTTGTATTCGATTTTTTTATTTCGGAATATGGAAAACCTTTACAGTGCTCTATTATGGAAAATAGTGCGCTTACAGTTTAGAGAAGTGTACTTCTTATGAATGTATTTATAACAACATAATCGCATTCTAATAAAATTTCCCCAATGGGAAATTCAAAATAAACTGCTTTTATTGTGTGCAAATATTGTAAAGCTGTTTGTTTAGTGTACTCCCGCAAAAATGTTGGGTTTAAAAAATTTCCCTGCAATGGACATTTTAGTAAATTTTGAAAAATTGCTTCAATTTGTCTAAAAATGCCACAAAACCGTCAGTAAAGTAAATTTCAACTAAAAACCGTGAGTTAAAAAATGTCCCTTCAAGGGAAATTTAGAAAAATTTTGCTTACTCTAACTAAAATATTTCAAAGCTGATAAGCAGTAAATTTAAGCTGATGCAAAAAAATTTCCTTTTAAAGAAATTCCCAGAAAATTATAAATTTTACCTAAAGCCTACAATCTTCATTCAACTCTCCCTCAGCTTCATTCATGCATTTAATTCATATGAATTCTCAACTTCAAAAGGCTTGCCTTTTATCTTTAACCTTCGCTGCTAACTAAGTCAACGCATACTGTGCCATCTGTTAACTTTGTTTGCAACAATTTTATTTTATTTTTTATCTTTCATACCACAATTTGCACTTCAAAGTTTTGCAAAGTTCACAGGAGGACGCATAACACCAACAACAAAAAATTTAAAATACAAAAGCAGCTTACCTCTTTGTTCTCTGTCATGTTGAGGATACTGCCGGCATTTGTTTGAAATGCAAAACACAATAAAAATTTCTCATGCAAACCTGAAATGCATAATCAAAATGTTTTGATTGCAAACTTTACCTTTTGTGCGCTCACACTCAACGCTCTCCACATACGCACCCAATTGTTTTCTCGTCTCATAAGTACTCGACGCACCCATACTGCTGCTCGTTTCCAGGCGATAATCGGCCATATGTGACTTCTCGACATCCGTTGCGGAAAGTTCGCCATGGATGCGCCGCACACTGCTGCTGTTGCTTGCAATACTCCCACCGCCACCGCCACCGCCACCAGCAACACCACCCCCTTTCGTAGTTCCCACTGTCGCTGCGGCTGTGCCTGCTGCGCCATTGCTATTCCCATTCGCTTGTCCGCCAGTGCCGTTTGCGCTGCTGCTGCTACTGGCGCTATTCGCCGTTTTATTCCCACTCACATCCGCCTCAATGTCGAGCACATTGTTGTTCTCCGTTGTCAGTGTGCTCATCTGGTACAGTTCGAAGGCTGGCACTGCTCTCGTTGATTTGAATGCACCTGAATTGCCGCCACCGGCATTATTAGTGTAGGTCCCCGCGACACTGGCATCAATTGTTGCAATGCCATCGCCGCCACCGCCACCACGGCCACCGCTGGCACCGGCGATTGCGGCCGCCATGACAGCATCAATTTTCGCACTAATGGCCGCAATGTGCGGCGAGCTGAGCTGCAGTTGATTTAATTTCGCCTGATACCAGGTGGCTGTGATGACGAGTAGCAAAAGTGAGAATACGAAACTTCTGAAAAACAAAAGTAAAATGGGAATTTTTGTTCGAACTGCATTTTTTGAATGAGTATGAAGCGGAAAGTTGCTGATAAACTCACAGAAATATTTGAAATTTTAGTTCGCGCCAATAGCTGAAGGCGCCGGGCACTGCACGCACATGTAGCACTTGTATGATGGTGTGGTTGCCGCTGCTGCTATTGCTGTGACCATGGCCAATACTTTGGTTGTATTGTGCTTGATTGATCGCCGCGGTATTTAGTGCGACAAGCATTTGAGCATGTGGATCCAGTGTGAGTATGGCGTGCACGTCGTGTGCATTGCAGGAACGTGGTAAACACTCGCCCACTTGGAGGTTTACGTGCTGAGGAGTTGGAAGAGAAAAGGGAACGAACAAAGCGATGAAGGATGTGAACTATAAAGCTTTTTTCATTCTTGGACGTGAAAAATAAACCGTTTAACAATTTCCCTTGGAGAAATTTTTTCTAAATACTTTTCCTTAAAATGTACGTGGCAAGAGTAGTTAAATTACTTGCGTTTGCAACAATATTTCACCTTCCTAAAATTTTGCCCAAAGGGAAGTTTTAAAAAATGCTTCGGTTTACTAGTAATATTTCATAAAATGTATTGTGAAGTAAGTTTTTTTTCGAAAAACCATGTATTTATAAAATTTCCCTCTAAGGGAAATTTTTGAAAAATTATCAAAAATTGTCGCTATGTGTGTTTAAAATTTCCTACTGTGCTCAAATTAGTTTCTTTGCACTTATTTTGCTTTTCCCAGAAGGGAAATTTTTGAAATTCCTTGATATGCTTGTAAAAATGTACATATGTACATATTATCAAATTCGTTGATCTATAGAATATTCTCGTCTGGCAGTGATTAGAGACAATATTTTTTTACACTTAGAGCGGTTTAATCTTTTCGTTCGGATGCTGGTAATACCAGCCTAACTTAAGCCTACTTACCAACTGTTGCGGCATCGACAGGTGTAGCGCAACCAAAGCAGCATTAAATTCAAATTCGAAATGTTTACGCTCATCTGGATTTAGTTGCCGATTAAGTTCATAGCAGAAATTCTTCTGACCCAGCCATTTGTCGTTGCCGAAGAATAATTGGCCACGGTAACGGCCGGAAGCATCGTATGCTGGAAGATGTCAATTTTAAAAGAATGCAATTAAAGAGAGAAATAAAAAGAAAGTCTACAAAAACAAAGAAATGAGTAAAAGAACAACTAATCACTGATAAATTTTAAAAGTGCAAAAAGTACAGCTTAAAGTCTGAATCGAAAAGTTATGCTGCATAAGCACTAGCGCTATTAAAAAAGAAAATTTCTGTCAGTCCGTTCAGCCAACATAATTTTCTAGTCTTTTTTCCTATTTTTCTCTTTCTCTACCTCACTTTATTCTCTCCTTTAGCGCACTTTTATCGCTTAATATCGCGCGCCCTTGTTTGTTGAAAGTTCCACAGACAACACCATTCGCCGGTTGAAACAACAGAACTAACGGTGTCGGTAGCAATACAGTGAATTGCAGATTTTACAATGTTAAGTGCAACTTTATTACCAGCAACAGCAGCAGAGTGCGAAATGCACCGTAGTAAATTTTGTTGTTATTTTTCCTTTTAAAACGGTAAACGGTTGATTGTTAAATCGTAAGCGCTTGGGGGAAATTTAAAAGATTTTTTTTTGTTAATATGAAGACTGAAAACAATTTAGTAGCTTCAGTTTCGATTATTTTTTTTGCATTTACACAGAATTTCTCATGAAGGAAATTTTTTAATTTTTTAATTTTTTACTAGAAATACATATGTATTATAAAATATTCTTATGAAGAACAAATTTGTTTATAAAATTTCAAATGTCCAATCATGAAATGCTCATCAATCATGCACCAGTGTTTACTT